ATGTGGTTGGGGGCTGCATGTTGCCTGCTGTCTGGATTTCTCATCTGATTACAAAATGTTTGTGTTGCAGGGGGGGTACGCTGCCTATCGGTATGCCCAGCCTACTACAGCTACCGCCACTGCCTACAGTGATAGGTAAGATTTCCTTTCCTACTGAATCGATCCTTGACTTGGAAAACACAGCACTGAGGGGTCTTTGGACCTGCTTTGGCTTTTGTGTCACCATGACCTTTCCTTGCTCCATGCATAGCAAGGGCTTCTAGAGTTAGAATCCATGAATAGTTACCAAGACATTACTGTTCTTCTCCAATGAGGTATCCTCTCTGTGTTCTGCATCCATGCCCATAATGATGGTTAAATGGCATCCCACGCACACAGAGGTGCACCAGTTGGGGAAAGCTGGAACTCATATCTCATGGCAAAGTCAGCATAAAAACTATTCTTACTTGGAAAAAAAAAGATAGTATTGTTTGCAAAAAGGCACCCGTCAAGACACGTGGCCCAAACTTGTACATTAGGAAAATGGGTCTGTACAAGCAGTAGAGGGTGCATGAAAATGCATAGGCATTTTCTTGTGGCTTTTGAAAACATTTACAAGTTAGCATGAAAATTAGATGAAACAAACAGGGTAGGAAAAGTGAGAAATGGAGATTCCCATCTCGCTTCTCTTCTATAGCCTTATTCCCACAACACATTTAAACTCTTAAGCCAATGAATCAAGTCTCTGTACCCGAAGCTGGATGTACTTCTAAGTAAGCATACACAGCATTAGAACTGTAATAGTATAATCCTGTTTATGCTCTATTCAAAAGTAGTTTTTTAAAGTGTTTCAAAATAGTTACTGAGGAGTAAACCTCATCCCTCATTCCTCTGAGTAAACATACATGGAGCACACTTAATCTGGGTCCTGAATTAACTCTTTTTTGAGTACATACAATGCACTTAACCATTAGCTAAGTAAACAGGCTGCCTTTGAATAAGACACCAAGCCATAGAATTCACCTAAATGAAGATTAACAGTAACCGTCTAGCTTGGCATATTGTGAAAGTGCAACTGCTGGGTTGTTCATCAACTAGGAAAAACTTCTGCAAACACAGTTATTGATTTTATCAGAATTAAATCTGTTCTTCAGTGTCCCCCTTTGCAAACCCTGGAGTTTCTCACTGCTGCCTATTAGCTGGAAACGAACAGGAACAGGAATATCATAACATCAGTGAATACCCAAGATAGTATTTGCAAAACTCCCAAATTAAATAATGGTTAAAATACTTCTAAAATAGCTGAAATCTCACGGGATTGTGAAATCTTATTAGACTTGCAGATGACATTGAAAAAAGAATTCCAATGTCTTGGAGACAAGATTGCTGAATTCTTGAGGTTCAGACATTAAAAAAAGAAAAAGACATAGGTTGACGTACGTGGTACCCAAAACATTTTCTATCTATACCCTACACCCTCAAAATAAATTCAGTAGAGATCAGATGTGGTCATTATAAATGCCAGACTGATTGGAAAATAACATTAGGAAAGAATAATAGTTCTTCTCTAGTTACAACTAAATCCAAACTCAGCAAGCAAGAGGGAGAGACACAGGAGAAGGAGCTTCGAATGCTAGGCCAGAAAGCTTTTTGCATTTCCATCACAAGATCAGGCACGGCGATTAGAACAGAAATCCAGTTCCAGAGTTGGAGATCTACTGAATATGGAGAGTATTTTCAAGAAGCGTTACTGGATCTTCTTCTGTTTTGGGGAGGAGGGGGAGAAAGAGCTATAAAGATGGAACAAGTCTTGGGATGGGAGCGTAGATCCTCAAAGTGCTGTTCATGGATCCGTTTCTTAAGAGAAATATATGCATATATATATATATATATTTATGTGGAACAATGAATGTTGAAGCTCTGCATGCACTGTTGCCTTCCCAATGTGCTTATCATGTTCTGGCAGTGAAGACACACACACACATGTTTGATGAATAAAATCAATTTGCATGAGCTGGCTGAAGCATGCGGGGTCTGACAGGTAAGCAAGTTAACCTACTTGTTCGATTTGTTTTCCTGGACGTCTGGACTGTTAGCCATGTCACTCCGGTCCTGCTGTTTGTGCCTGATGCGCAGTTGGAGATAGGCTTCCTTTTCTTTTTGTTTCCTCTTGAGGAACATGGATTGCAATGGAGCCCAGCTCGAGAATTCACATTTCATTTCCACAAAGGTGTGTCGTTGAGCATGTGATCGCTAAAAGTATTTTCTCTGTGAGCTTGCAATGCTGAGAAGATTGCGGGGTCATCAAGAGCAGACCCCAAAGAGGTCTCACCATTACATAGAGACAAAGCAGGTCAGAAAAATAGGAACGTTTCAACTTGGGGACCCAGGTCTTAGTAAACCTTCTCCAGATCTCCCTCTTGAGGTGCTCTGCAGAAAGGAAGGAGGACTGCATGGTGAACCGGGTCGACCAGGAGATGTTCAGCAGCAGCATTTGCTTGGCCACATTAAAAGCAGTGTGCAGGAAAGGAGCAAAGGGTTTGCTAATAGGTTCGCTTCAGAGCATAGGGAAAATATTGTCCATAAGTTTGTTGGTTACACATACCATGAGATTTTGATGCAGCCAATAGTAGCGTAGGTCCTATGTTTATAAAGGTATGAAACTGTGGAGTGCGTACACATTTATGATATGGAGTAGAACCCACAACTCTGTATTTTCTCTCTGGGCACCCCTGGTAAGTTCTCCTGCAAAGGGTTGTTGTTCTACTGGTTGATCAAGTGATACCAGCTAAGCAACACCATCTGTATTTCCTCTAGGACCACCAAGCAATTTGCATAAGAAACATCAAACCTAGTGTTTATAGGCGAGGCATGGCAAAAACATGTTCAGCTGGAATGTCATGGGGGATAGGAATATGCGTGCAAGAGCAGGTGTGCAGGTGGGGGAGCTGTGTCACCATTAGCTTCCCATGAGAAAGAGAAGGTGCCGTCTCTACTTCTGCAAGGCATAACTGATAAGGTACAATCCTTTGGCAAGCCATTCGCACCCACTATCCTAACCTAATATCCCAAGGACCAAGATGCCATTCCAGATTTATCCTAACAAAACCTCAATGCACCCCAAGATAAAGTGTGAAATGGCTGTAATCAAAAACATTGTGGAGCTCCAATCCACATACCAAACTCTATGCAATCAGGAGAGGATTGCAAGGATATCTAGTGTTGTGAAATGAAACACGGAAAAAGGGGAGGAATATCCCATGTGTGAATGAAGTATTCCTTGAATTGCAGAAGAGAGTGCACTGGAAACTAGACAGGCAGTGTTGCTGGGGCTGGATTTGGGGAGAGCAGGCATGTGCACTTGGTAAAATGCAATGGCTTCCACAATCCAACTTTCCAGCTTTACTAATTTGGCCCAGAGATTTCCACACCCATCCTAGGAAGGCATTATAGATCTCTTCCAGTGTATTTACAAAGGCCGAGAGTGAGAGTGAATGTTCTCAGAGCTACCGTTCAGGATGAATTTGGAATAGGGATGTGCAAAAGTGCTACAGGTAGATAAGGATACAAGTCCCCATGGAATCAACAAAAACACAACATTTTCAGTCCATTCCAGTGTGCAAAAGTAGGTATCAGTTGCTCACAATGATAAGGATCTTCTGAGTACGTTAGTGTTCCGTCCTTCTGTATTTCACAAGCACCCTTACTTTATAATTATCTTGTAGAAAAAGCTTGTGGTTCTTCTTGCATTTTGCTTATAGAGAAGAAGGCACCAAGATATCTTGGGACTCAGTAACAGAGCAAGAAGTCAGTAAGGGCAAATTCACAGGTGCCTTGGCATTCAAAGGATTTCCGCCCTGATCCTCTAGCACTATATTTTCAGTTTTCTGTTTAATTTGTGGGCCGGGTCCCCAGAGATCTGCCTTAGAACCCATTTCCAGATCCCAATCTTATTTCTTAATATATTCCAGCATTCTTCAAAGCAAACTGCTTGGGATTCTGAGGCAGACTCCAGCAGCCCTGTTCAGGCAGTCCTCCCATGTACAGGTCAATCCAGAAGGAGCAGGGACCTCTCCACACTATGTCTCAGTGGGGTCATTAGGCTTTCATCATGATTATCTGCAGCAGGAAGCCCTTGCGAGCCTCTGGCTCCCCCTCATAGATACCACCACGGCCCTGTGCTACGGTCAAGGCTGTGCAAGTCTCACCTTGCAGACTCGAGTAATGCTACGCTGACATTCCTTTCCCTCAAGATTCCTTAGATCTTTTTTTATCCGAGGAGGAGTTTCCCAATCTCTCTTTGGAGAACCCTTGATCCTAATTTTTGGAATATGACTCTCTGTCTGAGCAAAGCCTTTTGACCATTTTATCAGAGTCTCTCTGGGCTTATCTAAGAATTCCTCAGATGTATTTGTGTGCTGCATTTGAAACATTTTGTTTCAAATATTGGTGAGACCGCTGGTACCCCAGCTGGGCACTTCAGTAATTAACCAATCTTCCCGATCCCTGTGTCCAGGAATAACTGCTTCTCAGGATTCCCAGATGGATACATCTCCTGGAATAGCTATTTTAAGACAACAATGCTATTTTCACTCTGTCCCAACCATTGTATTTTCTACATCCTTCCTTCTGAACGTATTTTACAGCATGGGTGAAGGACAATGGACCTCTAGTTGCCGTTAGATTTCAACCCCCAGCACGGCTTACAGTGCTCTGCAGCACTGAAGCTTGATGTAAGCACAGTAAACTCCGAACAGCATTTACAGTATTTACATTTTCCCGTTTAATGAGTTTACTTCACTTCTGAGAACCCGGCTGACAACGCAATGAAGTATTGTCAAAGCCAGCCGAATCAGGTAATTAACAATGCAAGAGTTGCTTCCTCTATTTTTGAATTATAAATTATCCCTGGCATGCTAAACATTCAAATTCTCTCTTTATGCATAATTAGAATCACATTAATATCAGTCATTTGCATAATCTAGGTACTATAAGTGGATTTAGTTTATTTGAGTATTATTTGGGGCGGGAGGGTTGTATTTGAATGCGTGTATCCCCAGCAGAATAAAGATTTTTTTTATGGTTAGTTGCAAATCCATAAAATTTTCTTTTCTTTTTATCTGTCTAGAGGAAATTCTAAAACTGCTTTAAATAAC